GACCAAGATTTTTGCACTCCGACACCCAGACGGAACAGTTACAGCGTCCAGAAATGCAGTGGAGAAAATCATTCACGAACACTACGCAGATCCCTTCGATAGCCACGTCCACCTTCCGTCATATGGGGGATGGATATGTTGCACCATCGGTTCTGTCTTCCGAAATCTGACATGTTCTTTCGTCGGTGAAAAATCGAACAGCACCAGGTCCGGACAGGATAAGATCTGAACAACTGAAGAACCTCCCACCAGTCATAAACACGCTGGCTTGGCTATTTACACGTTACCTGTCTGAATGCAAGGTCCCTACTCAGTGGAAGACCAGCAAGACCGTGTTATTGCTCAAGAATGGTGATCTCCACCATATTGGCAACTATCGCCAAATCTGCTTGCTGTCTGTCGTCTACAAACTCTTCACACGTGTCATCCTAAACAGGATTGACAGAAGACTGGACGAAGAGCAGCCATATGAGGAAGCAGGGTTTCGAAAACGATTTAGTACCATGCACCACATCCACACGATAACAAGGCACATCGAAGTATCGCGAGAGTACAAAAGACCGCTCCGTCTCACTTTCATCGATTTACAGAAGACCTTTGATTCAGTTGAGATAGCAGTCTTGGAAGCCCTTGATAGTAAGGGAGTCCCTATTCAGTACATAAAGATTCTTCGTGAGCTGTACAAAAATTTCACAACCAAGATAACACCATTTTACAACAATATTAACATCGACGTCAAAACAGGGGTTAAGCAAGGTGATACCATTTTGGCAAAATTATTCACCCTCACTCTCGAGAACGTCATGCGAACGTTGAAATGGGCTAATATGGGAGTGAAAATCGATGGCCGACAATTACACCATTTTCGTTTTGCTGATGAGACATCGTCCTTGTAACACCAAACATTAACCAAGCGGAACGTATGCTTGCCGACTTTGATAAAGGCTGTAGAAAGATTTGTCTTCGACCAAATCTCATAAAAGTGATGTTCATGAAGAACGGATTGGTTTCGTATGACCCATCTACGCTCAAGGGAACGAATATCTCCGAATGCTTTAGTTATGTCTATCTAGGTCGGGAAATCAACATATTGAACGACTTAGCTTCAGAGTTGAGCAGAAGAAAACAAGTGGCTTAGGAAGCTTTCAAGAGCACCGGAGATGTAGTGAGGAAAACAAAGAACACCCGACTCCGTGCACACCTTTTCGACTCAACGGTACATCCTTCCCTAACATATGCGTCAGAAACCTGGCCGCTGCGTAACCAGGATGAAAGGCCACTCAGCGTTATCGAACTCGCAATGGAAAGGACGTTACTAGGAGTATCCCGTTCCACACAAGTAAGGAATGAAGCTCCGACCTGCGTCAACGATCAAAAATCAAAGATGCCGTTCTGCACGCCAAACAGTCGAAGATAAGGTGGGCCATACACGTAATGCGTATGAGTGACAACCGATGGACAAGAGCCGTTAGTGACTGGATTCCTTGGAATGTTAAACGCACTGCAGGAAGACCACCGACCCGATGGTTAGAGTTCTTCACGAAAAGTCTAGAAGAAAGATATAATGCTCGACGATTCTCTAGAGCGAACAGAACCCACTGAGCTACTCTAGCACGCGACAGGGAAAAATGGAAGATTTACTGGCTCCCACTGGAGTCACTCGAAGATTATCGGGACTACAAGTGATACAGGTGATGTAAATATGTAAATCAACTCTACTAGTAATGCAAACCAAACACATTTGGCTTATAATACTCTGGCATTGAAGACAAGCATGGCCTACCTCCTGACGGCATACTCCTTGGTGTCGAACTTGTCCGTGAAAGCTTTTCATAGTGGCTGACGACCGCCTGTGGCGAAGACATGACAAGGCCACACGCGAATTTGAAGGACATTGAACTCGACCAACATTAAATGACATTCAAGGAGATGATCAAAACCCTCAAGGAACAGCCGAATTCGCAAGCAAGCCCGATTTTCGTGAATTCGCGATGCCAACGACGAATGAGTGGAAAAGTACTGGGATCCTCTCAATATGTGAAGACGTATCATGTAAATAAACAAACAAACATGAATAAAATAAAATGAATTGAGGGAACGCGAACAAGGACGTCCGGGAAAGGAGACAATTAAGGCCAAAATGAACAAGTGACAAGTTAGTTTCAAGTGATAGGAATAAATTAGAATAACGGCTAATTCTGAAACGCATCTACCTCAAATGGAGAAAAGTACGAAGATGACATTGAGTTGCAGCCTTGTCAGTGCGCTAACAAAACATTTTTTGCATGGGAATCAACCAAATACTTCAAAAATTGACCGAATTCCAAAAGGAAAGGCGCAACAGATAGCAGAGCTTAGTCGTCTTTACATCACGATTTCTGAATTGCTATAAAATCCAGAAAAATCCAATACGAAGAGGATTTGTAGGTACAACGTATAGCTGTTTATTTCCTGCTCATTATTTTTTTAATGGAAGGGTATTATGTGAAATACAATCACAATGATGCGGCTCATTGCTGAGATATTTGCACAACTCGGACCCCATGCCAGATTCGAACCTGTGATTACCCCCTTTCTGTGGCTCACACTGCATATTGAAGCCCTTACTTTCTTTTCTCTCAGCTGGATCTTTTTTCTTTTCGAGAAAAGGCAGCTTTTTCGAGAAAGACTGAGGGAAAGACAAGCTAAACCCTCAATGGTGCCGTGGGTAGCACGTAAGTCCCCGGAAAGAGTAAGCACGGGTTCTAATCTGGCGTAAGGTCTGAGTTTGCAAACATTTCAGCAGCATTGTGGTTTGTAACTTGTTCTAACCCCAAGTTATCAAGGGGACTCAGCACAGCGGGATTGTGAATGTCGTGAACCATTTGCAGCTACCATCAAAAGGCCATCATTAAAAGGTCATCTTCGAGCGTCTGCACTTCGCCGTCGGTGCGAGTGCGTTTGACCCACCTGACACTGTATAGGACGGAGCCGTCCTTGTGGATTCGAATCAGCACATTCGGTTTGTCGATGAGGTGACGCCGTGCTTCTCTGAAAACGAGCAATTCCAGTGTTCCTCTTCATTTGAACAAAAAAGGTTGCCTTCGAATAAAATCTTGCTCGAATAAGGACGTGAGAATTAGCCATATTTAAGTGCCATCTTGGAATGACAGACTAGGAAGTGTCTTTCTAACCACCGAGGTATAAACACAGGAGAGGAAGGGAAGGTCGTTTGGTTCTTTCCAATGTCACTGTATCAGATAGATCTTTGACTGGGAATAATAGAAAATCGAGTTCATCCTTATTTCCACAACAAACTTTCGTGTTTTCATTGCTTTTCACTTCAAAGAAAAAAAAGCAATTCAGTACAGTGTTGTCGCATAGAGGTGAAGAGCCATTGTATTATCAGGAATCAATGCAAACAACCAGTAACAACTAGGCAAGAAAGTAACTGTGGAAATCGAATATTGACACCAAACGTTTACCACCAACATCGTCACACCGGATAATACATCTCCTGTAAACCGTAAGTTCCCAATATTCTCCTCTTCGTCTATATGAGTGAAAGATGACCAAGTACGTTTCTTATTCAACATTGTTGTTCTTGATGAATCGAACACAGTGCTCTGCACTTTAGTTTCTATACTAAGGGATTATATGTGATTATACAGAAGGGCGCGTGTGGCGCGGTGGTAGGAGGCGCCCCGCAACACACACGTGGAATCGATCCCAGCGACCATATCCCACCAAGCTTCCTATCTCTCCGGCGTCGGCAAATTGGTAGCAGACTTGTCTGAGAGGATAGCAACACTGGCTCCATACATCGATAGGCCATAGCGAGTCATTGCAAAAGCCAGATATGCATTCAATCACATCAAAAAGATGCTTAATGAAGTCGAATACAAGGTGCATCCCTCAAGGATTCTATAAAAACGTTATACCATTGTAAAACTTTTGAAACCGACCGTCATTTAATCTCGGTACTGTGATAACCCAACCTATTATCAACGGATAATCATATCAACAACAGTCGCCCTGTATAAAAGAGCATGGCCGGGTGGGTACGAGATGAGAGATGAGTTGCTCCTCAATCGGGGAAGATCCGCTGAGGAAGGTCCGGTTTGATGCAAGATGAAGACGCCAAATCGAGAAGAGAAACAATTGTGGATCATCGACAAGGATCGTCGGCTCTGACGAAGACGTCGAAACGTTAGCCGAATAAACATCTCTATTAACCTCGTATAAGCTCAATAACATAAACAAAGTTTGATCATTGTATAAGGTTGCATTGAATATATACGATATGCCGGCTCAATGGTTCAGTAGCTTTTTCGTGGCAAGAATGCATTTCTGGAAAGAATAAGAACAGTTATTCTTTTCTAAGGAAGGCTATTAGATAAAAGGCTAATGAAAGAAACAACAACGCTAAACAATGCTGTTCTCGTGGTGAACAAACTCAAGAACAACACTAGATAAGATAAAGCTTAAAGTAAAAACACTGCTAATGATTAAAGCCGTTTGACGATTGAGAGGATAGAGAAAGCTTCTGCGACGTAGCCAAGAGCAAAAAAAGCGGTGAACCAATCGAATTACCAAAGGTCTGAAGAGGTGTCGTCCTCGTGATTACATCGTTATGGAAATCGTGATTCCCGACTATTCGAAAGAATATCCCGAAATCAAGATCTTTGCGGAATTTTGACATTCCCATCGGATACATACTAGAAATAAGACTATCTAGTGAATCTCATGTTGGTCAAAAATACGAATATTCAAGTCGGAGAAGCTTCGCAATGGAAAAAGACCATAGTTTGGCCAAGGTAGCATTGTATGATACTCACTACTTATCAAAGTTGCAAAATTTTCTCAGAAATTCTGCAGAAATCCCATCGACGTCCACTAGCTTGACAAGAAAAACTTTCGGAACTGACACTGTATTCCATAAGGTGTTGATGAAGAATTTATCGAATCGACATCACGACTATACCGAAATCTAATCGAAAATTTGTAAAACACTCAACAGCAACTTTTAAGAAATCAGCCAACTCACTAAATATGGAGATAGGATTTCAATCTATATGTTCGATTTCCCCTCTCCCGATCCACATGGGAGCGCCCTAGCCCGGAGATCTCCAACATTGCAAGGAGAGTCGGCTCGAACAGCATTCTAAGGTGTCCATAAAGAAGAGAAAGCCCCCATACAGCCGAAACAAAGCGCGAAATGTCCGAAGTCCTTTGTAGATGATGAATACGATGGAAACGAATCGAATACAAAAAGTGCTTGGAATCAAGGACAGTAAATGTGATGACTAGTTATGTAACAAAAAAAATAAAATTGCTCGAAGCACTTGAAATCTTGTTAGTCATGAAGTGATCCATCCAGAACGGGCGACAGAAGGTCCATTTATACCTGTTATATAACAGAGGTGTTTTGTGGGAATCGCATGCTCAAAAGAACCAAGAAGTAACATATCTCTAGTATAGTACCCCATACTTTTGCAGTTTTGCCAGAAAGGTAACCCCCCTTTCGTGCAGGGCCAGCGCTGGCTCTCATATGCAGCTAGTAGGACTCTATTGTGGTAAAGGTTTATATTAATGACGATTTCCAATGAAAAGATCGAACCCTTCAGCATGGGTATTATGCCATTAGGAAAAACTCTTGTTGTAGTTCAAAATTTGGCAACCAGGGAAATTCCTTCATAAAGATTACGCGGCAAAGCATTACGAAGAGGAAAGCAGAGGTAAGAATTGGTAAGGGTTAAGCGGACCTCAGCAATAATAAATGACACAAGGAAATTAACGGAGACCGTTGCATTAGAGGGTTATGAGGCCGCGGAAGGAACGAATCCGAAAAAGCTCTACAGTCCACATGAGCTTCATTTCCACAAGTTGCCTCTTTTGTCTGCCGAAAAAGTGAGCTGACCTCTCCATTGGGACCTCGTTGACAAGTAACTCACACCACTTTTTTTCGAGCATAGACAAGTTGCTATCATTTAAAGAGAAAATCCACTGCAGCCATGAAAAAGCCTGATACTAAAGAATCTCAAGATTCAAACATACTTTTCATTCTGGAAAAAAGTGTCTGGCATCCAGATCTGTTGAGATTGATCCGAATTCTCGCTGGTAGCGAGTACGACGAATGGGGGCACCTGTGAGAAACAGCTAAGAGGTATTGCTAATGAATCATACTATAAACACGAAAGAAATATTTCCGTGGAAGCAGTCTCGTTTTCTCAGTTCGGAAATTCGAATGTTGAGATGAAAGGATATAATCTGAAGATTCCAGTGTCTTACTTCGGTGGAATCATCCTCAAAGCGGCCGTAGGCAAGGCGAGCATCTACCCACTCTTCTCGGAAAGTGAACTGGGTGCTGTACTCCATGTTGACGTCGTCTATCTTCGAAATGGATCTCAGGTAGATATTTACTGTCACCAAAACTGGACCGCCGGTATCTGAAACAAACAATGGCGTCTTAATGGCGTTTCTTAATAATCACGTTTTTATTTAACATCTAGTTTTTAGAATTTGGAAGTGTTGGGATGGAAAATACATCATAAAAAAAATAGTGTCCATCACCATTCTTTTTAACTTTGGTAACGAAAGGACATCAAAGAACAAAATGTTTATCTTGAGGACAACTGTGGACTTTTCCACAATATCAGAATCATTTTTATTATTACAGGCCATTGTTATAAAACAGTACTAGTTATCCCAAGCATGACAATGATAATTGTAAGCGCTTTCCTAGGTGATTTTCGACTTCATATATTTCACGGAACATCTGTCAGCTTAACACATTATGTGAAGTGTACAATTATGATCCTTTCAAGAAACGAAAACAAGACAACTGCAAAGATGCTGAGATATGAACGAAACTCGGGCCTCAATTAGGCTTCGAATCCATGATTACCACTGCTGGAGACTCATGTACAATCCACCAACCATACCAACCGAGACCCTTGGTTTGCCTTTCTCGGAACCAGTCTTGTGGTTATGCTTCACACAGTAACCTGCCATGAAAGCGAGGCAGTTTACACAAAGCTTATGCGAGGATCCACCCTTTGGTAAATGAACAAAAGCCACCTGGCCACGAGACGTTCAATCCCCTCGGTCGTACTCGCCAATCGTAGTTGTGCAGAATGCGCTGGATGATTTCTTGTTCCTTGAGCTTTCGCTTGCCGTAGGCACTCGAGAGAGCACTGACCAGCAAGCAAGTGAGAGCCAGCGCTGGCCCTGCACGAAAACCTTTTGCGCTCTGAATCCGCATGCCTTGTCGTACAATTGGTCTCTCTAGATCGATGAGGCCATCAGACTAAACACCTGCTCTTTTACGCACACGTCATAAATTCGGAGTCTGAAACTAACGATGAAAAATTGACGGTTACTAACAAGACAGTGAAATTTCGAACGACACAGTAATGTAAAAGGAGAACAAAGAAACTTATTCATTCATCGTGCACTAATTGTAGCGATTGTGATGATCAGCAACGAGTAATGATCGCAATCAAAAGCCACAGGGAAGAAATAAGCACGAAAAAAACCGCTCTCACGACCACACTCAACACATTTGATCTGTGAGGACAAGTCGTGTTTCTCAGCACTGCGCGCTTTTAAAGTACTTATAAGAGACGTCGAAGATCATGGAAGCCAAAAACCGTGAAGGCGTCTGCGAAGGGAAGAAAAGATGAGAAGTCGGCGTGGAGAGTCGTATTCGGAGTGACAATGTGTCCAAAATGGGCGGCGCATGCGTCGCCTCGGACGAATTGCCCGAGGCGGGTGAGTGGCGCCGGACTTCCAGACACACGGGTGGGCAGGCGAAGCCATCGATTCGTCGGTGTGTGGGGAAGCGACGTACGGATCCGCTGAAAGTGTGTCCTGCTCGGCTGGTTCGCAACATCCACTCTCCTCCGCTGTCACTCCAAGAGGAAGATTAGTGCTGCAAGAGAAGTCATACCTGTTAAGGATTTTGCTCAGGAACACTTTCTTCGTGGGCATCATCCGGATGATAGCAGAAATAAATGTGGTAAATCTAACGCAATAGTGTCACATATATGACTCCTTGCAGCGGGAAATTTCATATTCTATTTCTTAAAACATTGCAATTAGAGTGTGTTCTAAAAATCTTGGTCTTGTTAAAATTCATTCCTCTAAAAATTTTATTAAAGTGTTTCTGCCGCATTATTAAACGCTTTAGGCGACACTGAGCTGATTTTTTATACTTTTCACCGGGCCTTCACTGTCTTGAGATTATTAGGAATCTCGGATTCAGACTGATACATCGTCCTCGATCTGTAACTGAATTAACACTGAACTCTTTGCTGCGCTTGTCTCAAGACAGCAAACCCTTCCTTACTTCACAAGGACCAGCCACCGGTATTGGTGAAGAAGTGCAAAAACTTTAACATGACTAACCCGCGATTTCAGTGGAACAGGACTTATTGAATGAGCAGTAGTGATAACGAAGCCACCAGGTATAGCCGACCTCAGGTATCCATTGGAACATATCCACGGTTGGTTGCTGCAAGACAACAGAGCGAATAGAAATTCTGTAGTTCGCACAGCATCTGTTTGACGAATCATTCAAACATTTAACTATAGTAGTTAATGTTGTGACGCGCGTTGAAAAATATTCGTGATCGTTAGACCAGCACCTTCGAAGGGAACGGCTCCATTAACCACATCTTTCTACGGAGATCGTCTCTTATACTCCCATTTCCACTCACGAAACAGGTAGCACAGAAAATTGATATTCCAGTGGTGATGAGTCGGAAATTTCAATCCATACCAAACGTAGGACGAATTTTTTAAAGGGGTTCGAAAGCCAGGCTTACAAATTGACATTTTCCGTGAAGGAAAAACCATTTTTTTATTTCTATGCGACCCAAAACCACATAAATTGTGCGAATTCCGGCATTTACTGCACTCCATTAGTTTCCTCTCATCCACATTTCGAGAAGAGCTTCAGATTTTGCCTGTGGGTTTGTTTGCTTCTTGAGCCTTTAAACTCCTTCGTGAATGTTGTCCTGTTCCCTTGAATCCCGTAATTGCTCTGCTGTGCGCTCCCGAACATTCTCCACAGGCATGCGGTCCCAACAATCTATAAAACAGCTTCATTGGCCTTTCTCGGAGTCAAATCAAGGATTTTCGTGTGTTGGGAAGAAGTGAAGGTGTTATGTACAATAGGTATTCTTTTCCAGTGACATTTACAGCAAATCATGACTACACACATAGTGACAGAATCGAGAGCTGTGCACATAGACTTTTCCTTAAAGGAATTGAGGAATGCACAACTTGCTTTACTGGGGACGAACGTCGCTCAGTTCATTGGATTCTACGATTTCGAATGAAGCTGAAGCCGAAGGCGAGCAACGTTACTCAGAGGAAATGCTGGCCAGAGGTCTTTCCATCGGCGATAATTTCCCGTCAATGACGTAAGTGTGCCATCGCATGCAGCAATTGTGCAGATTGGAATCGGATTTCTCGTGCCAGTCAGAGTATCTCTATTCCTCCATCGCTAGTCGACGAACTCAACTCAAGGGTAACTCCTATCTCGTTCCACCGACGAACTTGGGCAAGTGAAACTACTAAGTACCAACGTAGTCCACATGTGTCTTGTTGAGAAAGCACATGAGGAAAAATCACGTGGACAGCTGTGCATATGGATGCACTTTGTTCTTAAAGAAAAATTACTGGAGAGATCTCTTCAACTTCCAGTAATGGAAGAGACAAACGACCTTGACGACCTTTTGATCGTAACGATGTCGGTTTTTCACTAAGAGGATCACAGCCATCACCTTTTCTAAAACAATTTAGTCAGTTTTTACATTTTGCAACATTGGACGCAGTCATATCAAGTCAGACTGCTACAGTACAGTTCAAATATCCGTATGGTTCAATATTTCAGAGAATCGATTTTAAGACTGGTAAAAATTACGAGTTTTAGGCTATTTCCTTCGTCCATAAACTTACAGATAGGTTTCCTTTGCAGGAAATACAGCAAGCACAACAAAATACTGAGGACTGCCAAAGCAGAATCGGCTACACGAAGATCCCTGCTCTATTCTGCCAGCCACGCAGTTACAATTTTTGTAGTGTGTGTCAGTTATTTTACAATATCTTAATCAGAGACTTTCGGATTGTGGAAAAAACTGAACAAAGTAGCTTTTACTCCTTTTTCGCAATACAACTATCTCAATATCTGTCCATGCTTCGATTTAAAATAAAATAGGCACTAAATAGAAGGTGATTTCGACAGCAACTCCAGCTTAACTGGGTTGATCGCTGATTGGTGCTACCCAGACCACACGAGACTCGTGTGAGCTCAGCAGTGAAAGAAGGACATTGGTCACTTATAGCAAGATTGACTAAAAGATGGTTTACGAAAGTTTGCAAAATCGCAAAATTTCGAAAATTTCAAAAAAAAAATTTCAACTTGAATAATTTTCTATAATATAAGAGTATAATTTTCAGTAGTGCTTCCAGCATAGAAATAGCGTACTACGTAAAATTTGTATATCCAGTAGTTAACCGTATCGAGCATGCGTGTGGCGCAGTGGTGGGAGGGGAGGCGCCCTGCAACATACACGTGGAATTGATCCCCGCACCCAAGGCCCACCAAGCATTCCATCTCTCCTGAGTCGGAAAATTGGTACCAGACTTGTCTGGGAAGATAGCAGCATTATCTCGATACATCGGTAGGCCACCACGAGTCATTGTAAAGAGGCGCATCGCTGAGGTATTGATCAACACCGAGAGCTTTTTTTTATAGCCGAATTAAGATTTTTCTCAAATTTTCTTCGAAGAAGATGAGGTTAGAACAGCATTAGAGTTGGAACTGGTCATTATCACAAATAACTCCAACGATTTACGTAGACAACAAATTTCTAGAATTTCTAAAGACGATAGAAAAAAGTTTCTTTTTTCATGCTTCAAATGACATGAGATCCGGAGCGAAAAGTTATGAGACACTTCACGCTGTAACAAATCATCGCACACATTTCAGCAAATCACCTGCCTCCCATCAACATCGTAGTTCTCATATGAGAGTGTTTAAACCTAGCAAGAGTGGTACTACAGGTTGAGTCGCTTGTGTAAAACGATTTCTAGGATGTTGTGCGCCAATAAAGCTATGCGATGCACTCACAGTAAGCACAAAGCCGAGGAACTCGTCAGGACTGTTAGAGTGAGACCATTAAATTCGCCGAAATTCAATTTGCTCACGAATCCAGGAAATTATAGTAGCAGCTCTCTAGACCAGCACCTCATCGAGATGAAGTGGCAAAAAAGAGGTAGGCGGCCAGAGACGGAGAATGAATGAATGAATGAATGAATGAATGAGAGAATGAGGACGAATCACACAGTCATGTTGTCTCATCACAAGCCCTCCTAGGTTCTCGTACCGCCAGTCAATTAAGTCACTCCTCCGTGTCCACTGGTTTTGCGTATGTGGCTGTCTGATACCATAAATGTTGTGTCTCATGCTATCAACAATTTGCATAAACCCTAAGCAGCAAGAACTAGAAAAGAATTCGAACACACGAACAAGAAGACAAAAGATCTCGATAAATTTTGAAGGATGCCAAGGCCTTCGGTTTTCATATGACATAGTTGTATTTCTGAAAAAGACACAAATTTGCCTAGAGATGCTCATATGTTAAGTGGCGCGTCCTAAAATGGAGGATATGAAATTATACAGTGACAACAAGAGACCTGTATTTGCGCAGAAAAATATTAAGATTGTGGAAATCGAATCCCTAGTTCGATCGTGTCGGACTGGAATACACTATGCCTACGTAAGCAGACTGTGGTTGCGTTTTCGTGGATGAAGTTGGGTGCATGGGAATTGTGTCCTACATGCCGATATGGTAAAACTTTACGACTAAGTGATCGGGTGAAGCACAGAAGGTAGTTCACGGTCTACTAAAACAGTTAAGCTTCCCATACACACAGACAAAGTAGAAGTGACTGCGCTTGAGTATATCCAGGCTTGGCTCGGAAGCTCTAAAGTGAAGTGCTCGCGAAAAATAGTAAAAATAAAGGGTCCCATTCTCAGACACTAAAAAAGTCCCCATACAGTAATACTGGATTGCGTAAATATGGAGAACTGACCAAAATCAAACTCATTATAGGTTGCTTAGATTTGAAGACAGCAGGCATCTCAGTCTTCCATGGAGGACTTGTAAATGTAGGCCACGAGAGTAAAATACAGCACTATAGAACTGACCCAGACGTGAAACCAATTCTGCTGTAAGGCAAAAAAAAATGTAT